GTCCAAAAACAGGGATCTGCAAACAAAGTAGAAGTTCTGTATCCCTGACCTTGCTCTGAAAATCTTCTTTATTTTGCTATTGCTCATTTTTCATCTGTAGAGAGGAAAAGATTTTCTAAATTTTATTCATCCCTCAGGGATTGTTAGATAACTGTTCAGGAAATATATGTAAAAATACACCTTGGGAAAAAATATGATTTTATGCCATTGCACACTTCTGCAGTGCCCTTCAGTTTAGAAAGCACCATCACACCTTTATCTCATTGTATCTTCTCAGGACTTCTGTGGGGATATCTGTCATTATTGATTTCACAAGTGAGAAGCCTAAGGCAGAGAATGACCAAGTTACTTGCCCAGGGTTTAACAGCATGTAAGTGAGGGAGCTGAACTGTGAACAAGGTGCTTATGAATCCAGTGCAACTCTTCTTGCTAAGAGGCGGTGTGGGATTTTTCCTATAGTTTCTAATTTACTTGGCTTTATAAGCCTACTGAAGTGCTGATGGAGCCCTTGTGGTGCAGTGATTAAGAGCTCAGCTGCTAAGCAAAAGGCCAGCAGTTCGGATCCACCAGCCACTCCTTGGAAACCCTATGGGGCAGTTCTACTCTGTCCTATAGGGTCACTATGAGTGGGAATCAACTTGACGGCAACGGGTTTGGAGATTTTTTTGGTTTATAAACCTGCTACTGGTTATGAAACCATTCAAGATTCTTCTTGATGAGAGTATGTTTCTGGGGCTGTCAGGATTAATTTTGTAAATGTCAGGATTTATTCTTCATTAGAAAACACTGACAGAATCAGCTAATTCTCTGTCATAGTTACAGATAATCTCATAGAAAATTAGAAGAGACCATAAAATGATCTTTCACAGTCCTTCACTTCTCAGGCTTACTCACTCATCCAAGATCCCATGACTGCTACCAGACTCCAAGTCTCCTGCCTCATAAACCAGTGCTCTTTCCACTACCCTACCCTGCCAGCTTAGGAACAGCACAGCCAGTTGCAGCAGTTATAGAAGTTGTAGCCAAAGAGGACAATTCTGCCTCTATTGCAGAACTGCGGAATTGATGTATCTTTAAGCATGACAGAATATCAGAACTTTATTCCTAGTTTTCAGCACAAGTGAGAAAGAAGGAGGTGATTCTGAGATGTTTTATAGATCCCAAAGCATTAAATCACGTTTTGGTGATTTCAACTATCCTAAGGTACAATACTTGGAACACTAGTAAGAAACACTAATCACAGGATAAAGTGCTTTATGACTTAGAAGCCAGTGTTAGATGTCTCTTTGAGTAAATTTAAAGATTAAATGGGTATTTTTTTCTGTTTACTCCCGATGATTCCCAAGAGTCCCTTTGTTTCCCAGCATTTCCAGGCACGCCGTCCAGGTCTTTAGTTAGTTGTCGTCAAGTCAGCTCCATCTCACAGTGACCCATGTACAACAGAACAGAACATTGCCCAGTCCTACACCATCTTCACAATTATTGGTATGCCCGACTCCTTTGTTGCGGCCACTAAATATTTTGAGTGCCTTCCAGCCTAGGAGTCTCATCTTCCAGCACTACATTGGACAGTTTTATGTTGAGATCTGTAAGGTTCTCATTGGCTAATTTTTGGAAGTAGGTACCAGGCCTTTCTTCCTAGTCTGTCTTAGTCAGGAAACTCTGCTGAAACCTGTCCACATCAATGACCTTGCTGGTATTTGAAATACCAGTGGCATAGCTTCCAGCATCATAGCAACACACAAGCCAC